ATTTCTCTCTTTCTGTCTCTCTGTCTCTGTCTGTCTGGTGAGTGCACGCACCCTATAGCAAAAACCTCTCCAAAAAAAAAAAAAAAAAAGAAATGAAGTAAGCATGCATCCTCAGTTCTCCTGGTCTAATGGCCTTGCCCAAGATCACCTCAAAAGCAGAGAATGGGCCAGTTGCAGTTGCACAGCAGTAATGTAACACTAAACAATGTTAAAGTCATATAGGAAGAGGTCTTGGGTTCATGTCCTGTGGTCTCCCTGTGGATGGCAGATGTGGACATGCCCATGACCCCAACAGGCTAGGACTGAGGGTATATTGCACATGAAGACACTGTTGGAGGTGCTGCCTTTTTTTTTTTTTAATGAAATAAATAAATTAAATTAACTTATAAAAAAGCAAAGAACACCAGCACAATATCCATAATTGTTTATGGTGGAGATGGAGCTAACAAATTATTTACAAAGAAGATGGCAGGTCAATGTTTTTTCTTCCAAAACCTTACTAATAAAAAATAAGAATAATTTAAAATACTACTTAAACACAAACAGAAATATAAAAAAAGAGTGTTCTTATCAATGAAGTCAATATGACTGGAGACTTCTCCCTGCTGTTTGCAAATGGCAGAGCCCGCGGGATTTACACCAATTCCTATATGTCCCCCATATATGGGGATGATACAGACATTTTTAAACTTAAGAACATGTTTCTCTTCTATTTGGACACTCTCTTCAATCCTTAACCCAGTGGCCTCTTCTAGAGGAAACAGGATTGTAGAACTGAGTCACTCTTCTGGTGGCAGCTGCCCTTGCAATGGGCTTTACTTCATGGAGAAGAATGACTCAGGATGCTTTAAATAAAGCCAAGAAAGGAAAAACTCTTTTGAAGTCTCTGTAAGCACAATTAAAATTAAACTTCATTATCTTCAAAGCCCCCTAAGAAGAATAATGCTCAAGGAAGCATCTTACCTTTTTTGATTCATCAGAAGTTCTCTGTGAAGATCCTGGTGGTTGCGGGATGTTTTGACAGGATTTATCAGTTTCTGAGGCCTAATGAGTTCAGGGTTGTCGTCTTCTATATAATCTGGCTCAGCCATGATGCTTCTTGTAATGAAATAGGAATCCTTAGAGTCAGAATCCTCAAATGGGCTGTCTGAAACAGAAATGAGAAATACGTGTTTGTTGTCTTTCCTGC